TCTTTCCCTTCCCCCTCCTCTTCCCCAGAAAATGAGATCATTCAGGTGGCAGTGGTAGACAGAGAGAAAATTTTCCCGATCCTGATTCAGCCAGTGAAATGTTTGTCCACCTTGATGGCCAAAAATAGTGTCTGCGAAGTTGGCCTGAGGAATCTGCTTTGCCACCTCAACACTGTACACAGGCCCATCCTGGGTGGATTTGGTCTCTGGTCGCTCCCTTTCCCCACCCTCTTGAAAGCCCTGTCATTTGTGGACAAGAAAGGGGAGTTCAGCTCTGCTGTGTATGGTTTCCTAGACATTTTGCCTCTGATTAAAGAGAAGATCCCCGAGAGGGATAATTACAAGTTGAAGACCTTGGCCAACACTTATCTCTGGCGACAGCTCAGTGATTGCAGTGCCATGGAGAGTGCGAAGGCTATGAAGGATCTGTACGAGGTCCTGGATATCAACCTGGGGAAGGAACCCAGGCTGATTCTCAGCCATGCCAGCCTGGAGTGCTTCATCTCCCTCACGCCCTTGCTGACCGAGAAACTTCTCACCAAGCCATCCGCCCAGACGCTGGCCACTCACAACATTGGCCTCTCTGAGCTCTGGTCCTGCTACAGGCGTGACCCCAGCAAAGGGCTCCAGAAAGTGTGCCGTCTGGTCAATATTCGTCGGCACAGCTCCGAAAAGAAGGTTCGAAACCTGAGCAAGATCAAGGTCTACTTCCAGCAACAGCAGCAATCAGCTGAATGCCAGACGACCCCAGTAGGCAGTGATTTTCCAGAAACCATAAAGAGTGAGAAAGACTGTTGAAAGATGTCTGTGCCTTACCAGTACAAGACCCTGTCTCTCACCCATGGAGAGTAACTCCTGGGGCAAATTACCAGCTCATGTCACTAGTTTTGCATTCAAAATTTTCTGCCTGCTCCTGCCTGGGGTGATGGGTCTGGGTTTTGATATGTGACAGTCTCCTGCCGTCCTCCCTCATCTAAACACTTGTGTTAAGGTGAAGAGCTGGGGACACTAGGCTGGCTGGGACATGTCCTCTGGCCTTGCTCTGATCTTGACACCTTGTAGCCTCACTGTGTATTAATTTCCCCTCTGGATGAATCAAACCAACTACAGGAAGAAATCTTTCCATGATTTCTGGGAAAGGAAGCTACTGCTTACAGTCCATCCTGCCTTTGCTGGTTTGGGGCTTGGGGGGAGAAGGGGGAGAGGGAAAGGGGCAATGTGGTTGGAAGCCAAATGGAAAAACAGCGGGTACTGAAATTAATTTAGAAGGGCCAAGAGAATAAAGGATGCCTGTAAATGCTGGGAAGGGGTCTAGATCATGGAGAGGAGAAGGAGGAATGCAGAAAAAGGGGATAGGAGGCCTTTTTGTGGCATGATCCACACCCTATTTTACTCCCAAGCTTGGTAAGAGGTGTCCCCACCTTGCACATCCTGCCCTCCCTTAGCCCCCTTTGCCCAGCTTGGGGGCGTCTCTGCCTCTGAGGGGTACCTGAACTCCTTGTCCGTCTTCTCGTGAGCAGGACAGCGAGGACAGAGGGCTGTCCCTTGTGTTCCTGTTGTCAGAGCTGCTCTGTCACTCCAAGTAGCTGAGCCTTCCTGTGAGCCAGTATTTGCAATGTCATTGTGGGAGGAACCAAAAACAGTCATATGCAGTGCATGTCCTTTGGCCACCAGGATTCAGCGTCTGGCTGGCAGGGATTCAACCTCTCTGCTCGTGTGCTCTGAAAGGGGGGCAGTGTGAACACAGGGAAGAAGGGCTTGTGTTACTCATTCCTTTGTGAGGGACAACAGACCCTGGAGAGTGGGGGAGCTGGGCTGAAGAAAGCGACAAAAAAAACCCAAAAAACCAAAAAGCCCCTTTGGGTCCATCTACTCTGAGATATGAATCTCCTAAGTGAGTGCACAGTGATACTGTTTTCCTACCTTCTCCCCTGCTTTCCAAGCTCAAAGACAGACAGGGAATTGCTTGGTCAGGGAGGGAATGTCATTGCTCTTTCTGTAGAGGCTGCTGTGCCTGCTTACAGATGCAGAAGAAATAAATCATTTACTTAATTTGATGTGTATTGCTAATAATTTGCTCTTGCTCTCCATTCCCATAATGCCCCCTGTGGAATATAAAAAGGGCCAGGGCAAAGAGTCTAGAGCAGCCTAGAGATCCAGCTACCCTACACCCTGGACACTGCCTGTAAAGGGAGATTAGTAGGGTGTTGGGTGCTGGAAGAAAGTGTATTCACCCCCAGCTGGCTTCTCTGCTCGCCCTCAGGATGCTCTCGCAGCCTAGCAGCCCATTAAGCTCTCAGCACAGCTCAGATGAACACAGAGAAGCAGAAGAAAATCCATTTGGTTTCGGGGAGGGGAGGAATCTCTCTTCTTCCAGCCTTGTGGTAGCTAGAGATGGTCAGGGTGAGCCTGCCCCTCCCTGCATCGCTGCGAGTTCAGACAGGGAACCTGGAGATGAGGAGCAGGTGAAGCTGGGGGTGGCCAGAGCGGGCCTGAATCTCCATTCTGCAAGACAAGCCCATCCCTAGTGACCTCCAGGAGACCACTAGGCTGCCAGCATTTCCTGGATAACCTGTTTGAGTTAGCACATACGTGAGGCATCTGGATATCCTCCTATGCCAACGTAAGAGTTGGCTTGAGGCCAGGGGAGAAAGAGCACCAAGAGGTCCTGCTTGCTAAGGGAGTAGCCGAGAAAGCCCAGCATTGTGCTCCCTGCGGGAACAGCATGCATTATTTCCGTTTGTGTGGTGTGTAGCTGTCCTGCCTGCTGGCAGATACCCAGTTTGGATCACACCAAAATAATCTGATTTAGCCACGACAAACAGCTATTGTCATGAACTTGTGGGTGTCTCGTCTGGTCCCCATCGGAGCCAGAACCAGCGCCTGACATCGCGGAGAGGCAGGAGAGGGCACAGCTCACAAGTGAGGGCAGGAGGGAACTTTGGGGGAAGCCTCACAGCAAGGAGACGTGGGGGCAGGAGTCCAGGGTCCACGGCTGTCCCCTGACACAGATCAAGGTTTGCTGCAAATCCTGCAAAGACTTCAAGTCAAAGTGAGCTGCATGTGTGAGGAAAGCAATGAACACGCCAACCTTTACCCAGAGGCAGGAGCAGAACACGTTCTCTCTGCTCTATCCCTCAAGACCCATGCAAGGAGTGTTGTTTAAAGCCATGGTCATCCCTGAATGTCACTTAAACCCCACAGGATGGTTTTCCAGCTGTTTTTTTCCTTCCAACCAGGCACAATGCAACTTGCAGGGTGATTCGTAGCATGCCGTGGCAGTGGGTCGCTTTTCCCGGCCCCCACTCCTTCTCAGGAATACGGAGGGGACCGGTTGATGTCAAATTGTCCTGTGCTACCCAAAAAGGTAGGGATTGCCCAGACACCTCAGAGACCATTTTGACCCTTGGTATGTCTGGCCTGGCTGGCAGGGGTCCTCGGAGAGACAGGACCTGGAGGCCTCTAGTGCTCCTACCACCCCTGTGACGTGACCAGAGCACTGACTCCCAGGCTGAGGCATGCGTCACTCTGCTTTTGTTTGCTCTGTGCATTATTTCTGGTAACAATCGTTTCCAACACCAGGCATCCTCCTCCAGTCCTGCCCTGGAAGCTGCTGATTCACGTCTGTTCAGGAATGGTTAAACGGCTGCTTGTGCAGAAGCGTTTTCCTGCCTCTCACTAAAAACACATGGACACGTCAGGAAGCATGTAAGAAACAGCCAGTGCGGACGCCACCGTGTGGAGTCTTCTCTTGCAAGAGCAGAAACGCGGTCTGGTGTCGCCGACAGTGTACAGCTCCTCTGTGGTCTCCCCTGGGCCAAACAGGTCCTGCTTGTGCCTGGTGGTGTCTGCACAGGCAACAGGGTATCAAGCCCAGGGCAACTTCAGGAGCCTCCTTACCATACTCTCCCTTCACAGATTGATGGCAACATTGCTAAATAATCGTATATGTATCTGAGCTTGGCTGGACTGGATCAGGCCCTGGGTGAGGCACCCAGAATCCAAGGCGAGCCAATGCCAGGGTACGGAGAGTGGTAGTTAGCAGAAATGGCAGTGTGTTAGGTCTGGTTCGTTAGGGTTCACCCAATAGTCGGGGATCAGCATTTGTCCTGGGAGAGGTGCAGATTTCAAAGGCTGAAATTCTGCTTCCCCATGACTCCAGGAGTCCCCTTCTGAGGAGGGAATATTTTTCAGCAGAGCACTTTTCCCCTGGGAAGCGTGGACCCTACAGCTACAAAGTTTGACAGTGATCTCTCCAGTCCATATAGTCTTTTTGGCAGAAGCAAACCCAAGCGCTTACTTTCTTATTTCCTCCCTTCCAGGTTCCTCCAGACAACCTGAATTCGTACTGTGTCAGTTCCCAGGGCTGCCCCAGGACTCCCTAAGCAAGCTTTTCTGAATATTTCCACCTGCATGAAATACAGATTTTCTTTTCCCTTTTACTCTTCCATCTGATTCAAGTTAAAATTTCCTCTTCTTCCTCCCTGCCAAAAATCAACATCTTTCAGTGGAAGGAAGCACAAGTTCCTTGCCAACTCTCTGAAGTCACCCTTAACACTCATTTTGAGAGTTTTCCTGGGTTTTAAATGATCTACAGGCCTTTCGGTTGTCCTCTGAACAGAACAGCTTAGCTTGGTGGGGCTCTCAGGGGCTGCTTGTGTTCTCCCGTGGTTTTCCCACACACCTCTGTTCTTAGAGTGAAAAAGACCCATTCATGTCTGTCGAGTGAGGAATCACACGGGTTTTGCCAGGAATGCTCTGAAATGCTCTGTAGGCAGCGGGCAAGTCGGAGGTGGAGGAGAGCTCAGCCCTACAGCGGTTTACCATGAGGTCCCCATTACCTGGGCTTGTTTGAGCACTTATACACTGGGCTACACACCCACGGTGTGAAAGTCCCAGTCATGCCAGCTGAAGCTACATGAGCTGATGTTGGTGTCCTCTAATGGCTCAGAGATGCTGAAGGGAGATGTCCCGTCCCTCCAATTTCATCCCTTTCCCTTCTTTTCTAAGCACCACATTCCAGCTGCTTCCCTGGCCCTCTTGCTTCTGTCCCTGGCCACTAGGTGGAAAACAGTGAAGAAAATGTTAGTGCCAGGTTAGTGAGTTAAACTGGCTCAACATGCAGTCAGAGGAGCAGGACCATAGGCCAAAACTGGGCATGGTAGCAACAGGATGGAAGAGCTTCACTATCTGCTTATCATATACACATTTCACTCTCGCTCTTCCCCTCTCCTTTCTCCCACTTGAAAATGCAGAGCACAGTTTAAAAGCCAAGATCTTGATATTAAGATTGCTGTTTCCATACCGTTGATTTTATCTAAACATTAGCCCTGGTTTGATGAAGTGACTGGACCAAAAGATCTCCAGATGTTCCTTCCTCACTGAACCATTCCATGATCCTCCAAGCATTTCCTGGTCTGGTATAAAGGCTGAGCATAACTACCTGCTCAAAGCCTCCCAGCACACTCTTCCTCTTCGTCTTTGCTTGGTAGAGAAGAGCCAGCCATGAATTCCTCACGCCCAGGAAATGTCCAATTGCCCTGGACATGAACAGCTCCATGAAGATCACTGTAGCCTTGAGAGAGCTAGGATAGGGACAGTTTTGGCACCTGAATACAGAGCTTGTCTTGAGATACTGGCACCACCTCTCTCCCCATGTCACTGTCTACCGCAGCTACTCCAGTGAACAAGATTCTCTGTGGATCTTGTAGAGCTGGTTATTTTCAGGAAAAAAGGTAAACAAACTGGGGTCAGCTGCTCAGCAAAGTCAGCACTTCACTTTCACTGGGCAAGGGACCAAGCCCAGCCGAGGACAGGGGAGAGGGACCTGAGCCCTGGCCCAGCCTCTCCTCAGCCCTTCTTTCTGCCAGCCTCTGTCAGGACTCCCTACCCTCCCATCAAACAGGCTTTACTTCACAATGGGCTCAAAGGCTGCAGGGACTTGGAGATATGATTTGCACCCTGGGACAACAGTTTCCATGCATGCAAACTGGAGGTGATGCTACTAAAGACCCTTTGTAGAGTAATTTGAGGTCCAGTGGGGAAAGCGTTATGTCAGAGCAGAAGCCCTCTCCTGTCCAGGCCAAGACAGACTTTTTCAGTTTTCAGTTTCTTCCCATCTTCAGTGGGAAGATATAAGTGGCACCATGGCAGACACAGACTGTTTGCAATGTGGCTGTTAGTCTGGAGCCATCACTACTGGGGAGAGGGGAAAGGTCTGAACATAGGGAGACTGCAGCCTGTATTTCCCCCAAATTAACACCATTGATATGACTGATATTGAGCTTTCCAAAGCCACCTTTGTCTTAAGCTTGATTTTCAGAGAGGCTTACTTCCTCCAGCACCTCATTAGCTCATTAGAGCCCCATCAAGATTGATTTCTGAGCTCCCAGTAAGGAACAAGGGTGCTCTCAGCTGCTGTGAATTCCCCTTGCTGAGAGGTGTGATGGGCATCACCTGGGGTTGGAGTGGCTGCAGGGAGGTGCTGGCTACAAAAGGTCCCTGGACAGCAGTTTCTCCTTGTGCTGGACCCTGGTAGGCAGGATGAGGCCTGGAAGCAGCCTGTGGTTTGCTGTCTTCTGCTGGGTTCTTGGTGGGGTGGTTTCTTACAACCCCTGGGGCTTCTTTAGAGGGGAGTCAGATGTACAGTGGTATGGGAGGGATCCTTCTTTCGGGCAGCCTCGTGCCTTCTCCCAGCCCTCCCCCTGGGCTCGGGTTGATGTCTCCCAGCTCCAGGCTGCGTCCCCACTGCATCCTGTGGCTGTGCAGTGCCAGGAGGCTCAGATGGTGGTCACGGTGCACAGGGATCTCTTTGGCACAGGGCGCCTGGTGAGGGCTGTGGACCTGACCCTGGGCCCAGCTGCCTGCCAGCCTGTGGCCCTGAGTGCTGCAGAGAACACTGTGACCTTCGCGGTGGGGCTCCATGAGTGCGGCAGCATCCTCAGGGTAAGGTTACATCTCCCAGGGCTGGAGCCTTGAGGTGGGGAGCTGGGTCTTGGCCTCAGCTGCAGTACTTCAGGCTGCTGTGTCCCTTGCTCTTGCACAGCAACGCAGAAGCTGTGCAAGGGATGAAATTTGAGGGCTGCCTTCCCTCCACTAGGGCTACGGGATCCCAGTTCAGGCTGACTCAGCCCTGGTCACTTAATTTTAGCTTGACTTCTTTCCTCCATCTAGTAATGCTGAAGCCACCCCTAGAAACTCAATGGGCACCATCCTTGTGAATGTTGATCAGTATGCTGCTAGGAGCAGGTTCAACTCTACTGAAGCTCCTGTAGGCTAATGCAGCAGCTCAAATGATCTGCTGCTTGATGATGAGTTTACATTGATGTAAAACTTAACAAAGCAGCTTCTGCTTTATTAGAGTGTTGTGGTGTAGTTGGACTTCTTGCTCAGGGAGATGCTCAAAAATCCTCTCTTAGATGTTGAAAATATGTTTCCAAGGGTAATGGAAGTTATGCTATCTGATCTAGGGTTCAGTTCTAGTGTTGGTGTGTGAGCAGGGAAGGGTGTGGAAAAGGCAGAGAAAATAGGTTTCTCCTTATGGATACAGAGGTGTCCAAATTCTCCAGAACAACTTGTGCTGTTGCTATTTCCTCCAGGCTGGAGTACAGATAAGCTAGTCCTGGGAGTGCCTCTGCAGTGAGCCTGCAGCTGATGCTGAGCTTAGGAGGCATCTGCATGCTGCTGCTTCATCATAGCATGAAGCTACTCTAAAGAAAGCTAAATCTAAAGTGGTCCCACTCTCTCTGAGAGAGGCTTAGGATAGTCAGGGTATACAGCCGGTACTGTGGAGGTCCTAGCACAGGTGAGTAGCTGCAAGTACCTTCAGTAAATCCTCCCTAAACAGAAGTCACTCTCTGCCTGTGACATCTCGAAGGATAGACTTCCCTATCTGCTGAACTAGGACAAAAAATCAGCCTGAGCACCTCTATCCAGCTCTGCTGTGCGCTGTTGGTTAGAGACAGTATTGGGGCAGCACAGAGCAGCTCCCCAGCCTGGAGTGTCCCTGCAACAGGACAGATGTTGCTTGCCTGTGTCCGGTGCCAGAAGAAGCTCCTCAGGTCTGAAGCTCCAGGCCTGAATGTGCTGCTCCCTGTGTGTGGTCAAAGGAATAGGGCTCCTAATTAATTGATAATGCAACTTGTGTGTCTCTCCCAGCTAACCCCTGATGCACTAGTCTACAGCACAAGCTTAAATTACAACCCAGTCCCTACTGGCAACTTGGTCATCATCCGCACCAGCCCTGCTGTGGTTCCTATTGAGTGTCACTATCCGAGGTGAGTAGTGGGGCTGAGCTGTCCCTCCAGCTGACCTGCCACCACAGAGCCTTTAACCAGGGGTGTCTCTCCTCAGGAGGGAGAACGTGAGCAGCAATGCTGTCAGGCCCACATGGGTGCCATTCCACTCCACCCTGTCCTCAGAGGAGAGACTGGCATTCTCCCTGCGCCTCATGAATGGTAGGTCTTGGGCGAGGGGGTGGCCCTGATAGCCCAGCACTCTGGAGGCTGTTTGTCTTCTCCTGGACAGCCGTGCTTTCACTAGATGGCACAGCTGGTGCTGATATTGCTCCATCGCTGGAAACTGGCTTTGTGGATCATGTTAGTACTCCTGGAGCAGACAGCCTGGCTCAGCCCTGTTTTGGAAGAGTTGTTTACCTTGTAGGCAGTTGCCAGGCCTCATGCCTGTTCAGGTTCTCCTCAAATGGAAGCAGTGAGGCACAAAGGAACAAACTGGCTTCCCTTTCTGAAGCTCATGGTGACCTCTTCCCTTCCAGATGACTGGAGTGCTGAGAGACCCTCCAATGTGTTTCAGCTGGGAGAGGTCCTCCACTTCCAAGCTGGTGTTGATACAGAAAACCATGCCTCTCTGAGGCTCTTTGTGGACAGCTGTGTGGCTACTCCAACCTCAGACAGGAACTCCTCTCCTCAATATACTCTCATTGGCTTCAGAGGGTAAGAGCTGGCTGTGCCCTTATTTAGAGATACTTCTTCATACTGGTTATGGATATCCACAGTAGTGGGATCCTGCTAATCATCTCTTGTGCCTAGATGCCTGGTGGATGGGCAACTGGATGATGCCACTTCAACTTTTATATCTCCAAGACCCAGGCAAGATGTGCTTCAGTTTGTGGTAGAGGCATTCAAGTTCACAGGAAACTCCAGCAACCTGGTAAATCCCTCTTAAAACAAGTGACCTCTGCTTGGCTAGACAGGGATGTGGCTTCATTCTATAGACCAGGGTAATGAAGGCTTGCCCTGGGAATGTAATTCTAAGCAACTGTCTCATAGCTAAATATGAATGAAGTAGCTTTACACTACTGCTTCTGGCTCACAGCCCTTTGAGCCAAGCGTGCTTCTTGAAAACCAGACCTGAATTGGTCAAGACAAGCATTGCACTTCCCCCTTTGACTAATTGTCCTGATGGACTCCCAGTAGCTGAACACTGAGTGCCTTGAAAGAAGTAGGAGGGCATGAGCTGCCCTGGGGAGGTGGTGTTCCCACTGAAGACCAAATTCATAATGAGTGGGAGAGCCAAGTGTACGCCACAAAAAGGCAAATGACAGTCTAATGCCTCTGCTCTGCCTGGCCTCTCCAGATCTACATGACCTGCCACCTGAAGGTGTCTCTGGCTGACCAGGCTCCAGACCCTCTGAACAAGGCTTGCTCCTTTGACAAAGCCAGAAGCCTGTGAGTAGCTGGAATAGCAACTTGCCCAAGGATGAAGAGCTTGGGCTTCTCATCTTGCATATCACTGTCTGGGAAACCAGATTTGGCCATCTGGTCTGAATGGGTGGCAGGGGAGGGTTGGGGTTCCTTCTCAGAGATCCCAAAGGAGACATGGGAGAGGTTCCTACAGCAGTGCAGGCTAGTTACAGGGGTCTCTTCCAGCTGGACTCCTGTGGAAGGCACCAGGGATATCTGCTCCTGCTGCGAGGTGAGGAGCTGTGGCTTGGCTGGGCACTCCAGGAGGCTTAATGCTGCCTCCCGAAGGCAAGGAGGACGTTTCAGGAGAGAACTGTCCTCCCAGCCTGGTAGGTTTTGGCATGCCTCTTGTGCTCTGTCACCACAATGGCTAACTTGGTCAGACCTGGGTGGCTAGAGCTGCCTCACTACCTGTTGGCTCCTCAATGCTAATCCACGGCTTGGGGGAGCAAATGTTCACAGGAGCCTGTGTACTCATGTGCCTTCCATCTTAGATCCTTTGAAAGAAGCAGATGTTATAGTTGGACCCCTCTTCATCCACAGCTGGCAGGATCATTCCGTCAGGAGGATGCCTTCACAAGGTAGGGCAAGCTCAGGAAAAGGGTGGTATGTGTGGCAGGTCCAAGCTCTGGTTGTAACCACCCTCCTTGCTTCTCCTTCCTAGATCCAGAAGGGAACTTTTGGATGGTGTTGGGACTGGTAGCAGTTGCTGGTCTGGTCGTTCTGATTCTTGCTGCTCTAGGAGCTCTGACTGTCTGCCGGAGATCCAGCAACCCCATCTAAATCACTGTTTTCAACTTTTATGATCTATCTAATAAAAAACAAAGCTGAAGGACTGTAGGAGACTTCTGGGGGGGGAGGGAGGTGGAGTCTTCTGGAGACTGAGCAACGTGGTTCCTGGTACTAACTTTAACTGTGCTTTGCCTCCCTGAATCTGATTTGGGTCTCAATGCTCTCTTGGAGCCCTGCCTTCAGCAGGGCTTTGTACACCCTTACAACTCTGTTAATGTCTCCCAGAGCACCTAGGTAGGAACTGAGAGCCTCTGGCTAGTGATTTCTGCATGTGTTCTTACTCCTAGAAACATGATATTGCATTTAGCTGTAAAATGTGTTACCTTGCTGGTGGAGCATTCTGGGGCTGCTCCATACTGGTAACTATTCACTTATGCTGGAGTGGAAGTGATCTAAAGCCAGGGGGAGCTAAGGGTTTAGTAAAGTGAGCCTATTGGAGCTTAGTTAGGAAATAAGGTAAACGGCCTGTTTCACAGCAGTGGTCAAGACTTTAATTGTTATGGGCCTCTTTCAAGGGTATTGAAAGCAGTTGTCTTGGACAAGAGTGTGAGGACCTTTTTAAAAAGTGCCTTCCTGAGCACTAAACTTCCACTAGGAGAGAAACTTCTCCACTTTGAGCTGGGTTACTTTGGAGCCTTTGTCAGGGGGAGAGATGTATGCTTCTGGAGTGTGTACCTCCACCTCTTTCCTGCTGCAGGTAGATTTGATCAAAAACCATCCTTTTGGGTGATGAGACAGATAAATATGGTCTTGAAGAAATCTAAAGCAACCTGGTAAACTCTTCCTGTTCTCAAATCTCTTCAGCAACTTAACACAGCCTGCCTCTAACTGCACTTTCGAAGTCCTTTTCACAAGTTGTCCCTCTGTGTGTGTGTATAATCAACTGCTGCTCCTCATGTCTTGTGCTGATCCTGGAGTGCAAGCATGAGTGTGAAAGCCCCATGGCTACAGTGCCCCTGCCTGAAGATTTCTTAGGCTGTTGTGCAGGTGGCTGGAAGATCTCAGGTAACAGAGTAAATATGGTCTTGAAGAAATCTAAAGCAACCTGGTAAACTCTTCCTGTTCTCAAATCTCTTCAGCAACTTAACACAGCCTGCCTCTAACTGCACTTTCGAAGTCCTTTTCACAAGTTGTCCCTCTGTGTGTGTGTATAATCAACTGCTGCTCCTCATGTCTTGTGCTGATCCTGGAGTGCAAGCATGAGTGTGAAAGCCCCATGGCTACAGTGCCCCTGCCTGAAGATTTCTTAGGCTGTTGTGCAGGTGGCTGGAAGATCTCAGGTAACAGAGAGTTGCTTGTGGGGTAAATAGGGCAAGGCAGAATGATTCTGCAGTTGATGTGAGCTGAGTCTTGCCCTTAAAGAAGACAAGATAACACTGGAAGTGATGGGTAGGATCACTAATGCTGCCTCCTGCCTCTCTGAGTTCAACTGTCCTCAAGCCAAAAGAGGACCTCTATATAGATCTTTCACGCATGCACTTGGCCCAGAGCCTGGACCTAGGAAGCTATAATCTGTAAAAGCCAGTGTAGCAGAAACTAGAAGGAAGTGATGTTTAGCCTGTCCTCAGGCTCCCACTCGGGAAGTGGAGCAGTTTGCCTGAGACTTTGGCCTGCCTGAGGCAAGAAGTGGCTCCTAAAGTCTCTCCACCAAAAGCTAGAGGGGGCTCTGCTCTCACACTGGTCTTCCTACACTTAAGGGCAACTAGAGTCTGCCTTTGGGACTCTGCTCCTTGCAGAGGAGGAGCTGGAAAGGTTGTTACAGGAGGGGCCAAATAGGCTCCTGGTGCAGAGAGCTCAGTGCCCATAGGGGACATGGGTTAGAGCAGAGGCTTTTTGGGGAAGTGGGTAGGAGAGAGCAGGTCAGACTTTCCGTACAGTAGGACACATTCAGCTGCGTGGGGAGGTACGCTCCCATGGCCAAAGGCTCTTGGGACTGTACCTTGGCATCTGGGGTGGTCAGTGCTGGAGGCTGTTAAGATCAGCTTAAGCTTCATCCTCTGTGGGTTTTCTTGCTCCTTGGCAGGGCCTGATCCATGAGGCATGAGGGAAGGATGTGGACCCTCTACCCCTCCTGTCTGAAGCTGCTTCTAGGTGGAAAAACTCACGACTTGCTGGATGAGGAAGGGAGCATAAGAGTAGACGTGAGGCCTAGCGGATAGGGCTCTTCCTGGGACAGACAGAGGCAGGAATTCCAGTCCCTGCACCAAGGACTGTTTATGCATGTTTATATGTAACAAGCCTTGGATAAAATGTATAAACAGTCCTTGGTGCAGGGACTGGAATTCCTGCCCCTGTTCCTCCTGAGAAAGGGGCTTTAGCTATTCCTTGCCTGAGTTGCATTGGATTTTTCTTTCTGGTCCTGTAGAACTTATTCCTTTGCTCAGCAGAGCAGCCTTAAGGGGAGAAGTCCCTGCCCCAAACCTCAGGACCTGTGGCTCCCCACCAGTGTGGGAGAGGTTTGCACTTCAGGTAGAGGTGGGAACTGGACTAGTGAGTCCTCTAACTGCTGAGTTTTGCGACTGGGAGGGAAAAAAGAAGCCCTTCATGCTTTTTTCAGGCAGGTTTTGGAAGTGTTTGCTGCCACCTGACCTCTGAGATAGGCTTGCAAAATCACTGTGCCAAGTCCCTGCGGAGGCACTAAGGCATGAGTCTTGGGACGAGGTATTTACTCTGGTGGCAAACTCGGTAGCTGATTTTAAGCAGAGGGAAACAGGATCTTCACGCTCCTAGATTTAAAGGAGATTTAACTGCCAAAGCTTAAATTCTGCTTCAAGTAACTTCAGTCTTGGTGCAAATCTGGCTCAGAAACGGAGATTCAGGGTTAGTGGGTGACAAGTACTGTAGGGCTAGGTACTGCTGATGTAGCAGGTAACATGCTGCAAGCAGCTTCTTTGCCATCAGGGCTTAGCAATTCATTTGGGACCTACTGAATGATGAGGGGGAACCGGGACATGTGAAGAGGTGGGACTTGTTTGCAGTGTGGCCACCCTCTTGACCTGAGTGTGCAGGGGGGCAAGGACTATTGGAGTCTTCTGGCCTGTTTTGGGGGAGTTCTCTTGGTCGGGGGGGTGGGGACCAAGGAGGGTGGCATCTTGCACTGCCTGGGATGTTTTTGGGTGTGATTCAGTAGTCTGGAGACCCAGAGCTGAATCCCCTTGGAGAAAGCCTGATGTATTCTTCTTTTCCTTTGCCCTCCTGATGGCTCAGGCTGTTGTTGCCCAGCTCCAGGTAGTTGCAGTGCTAAGAGGCCCTGGATAGGGGCCGCATTGCTCCGGGATTTCTTTGGTACAGGGTGCCCCTTGCTGGAAGGATTCAGTCCTTGCTTTGATGCAGGGTGGGAGATACGAACTGTAAAGGGGTAATAGCTGGCTTAAGTCTTTACCATCCCACAAGAGGTGCAAGCTGTAACCTTTGGGGCAGACCAGAGGAGAGGTGGTCATGGAAATATGGGGTGGAAGGCATCTCTGGAGGCCTCCAGTCCAGCACGAGACAGGGCAGCCCTGGCTTGGCCCAGCTAAGGCTAGAAATCTCCAAGGATGGAGGTTCCCCACCTCTAACCTGCTAAAAAAAAGTTCCCTCATATCCAACCTGAATCTCCCAGGCCACAAGCAGTGGCTGCTGATGCCTGTTAAATCATCACATGACTGATTCCTTGTTGATCTATATCTTATCTAGACGTGCGATGCCTTGACAGTGTCTCAACGTGCGCATACTCTTAGCAGGGACTCTGTTTTGCTGAGCAGCACTAAGGAGACTTGCCTGATAAAAGCCCTTTTCTGTACCACTTGGCATAGCTGCCCTACTGCTGTCTAAGAGAAATGGCTCAGCTGGCTCCTGGAAGGAAAACACAAGTTTTTACTAAATCTGGCCCACAAAGGAATTTTGGGTAGGAAAACGCTCTCTGGCTCCTAAAGCTCTTTCTGCTGTATGTGAGTTGGGGGGTGTTTGACCAAAACTCCAGCCTGAGCAGCCTCTCCTGCTCCTTTCCCCTCCAGACTGATTTCCTCAGCTCGCACGTGCCTCAGAGTCATGAGTGCGGCAGCAAGTTTTGCCATGTGGTGATCGCTGCCCGGAGACCATAGCACTGCTGGTGCTGCAAGGCTGGGACTGCCACCTGAGCACCTCCTCTTTCAATCTCTAGCTTGTTGCTGACAAAGGTCCCTCAAGAAACATGCTGTCCCTAAACTGACATAAAACTTTATATGTTATAGACAGAAATGAGACGTGCTTTAAGTTCTCCTTTGTGCAGTGGGGGAAAGGTGCTACTCTTGTTCTTGTCTGGTGCCCTGGGGCTTTCCTGGTCTTTGCCTTCTGCACCAGATTACTTAATGTATCTGGTTTTGGTGCTGCTTGTTCACCTGTGTTCATTGAGTTTTTTACTGGAGCTGTGTTTGGTGTTGGTAAGAAGTGCATGACATCCTTGGCGGTCTAGCTGGGCTTTCAAATGGGGCTGGTGAAGAAAAAAAAAAAGAGCTGCCCCCTTTGTTGTTGTCAGACTTGGTTTCAGGTGATGATCTGGGGCCCCCTGAGATTGGGGGGAGGGGGAACAGCTGTCCTGTTCTGCCTCCCCTTCAGGGGCCCATCCTGCTAGGAAGTGTCCACCCCTGTCTTCAAAGGGCCCTGGGGCTGGAGCACATCTGAGCTTCAAGAGCAGAGCTGGGGACAAAGCAGATCCCAGCCCTGTTCTTGCCCACTGCAGAGCTCTCCCCTGCTCCCTCTGTCCTGAAGCCGTGTCTTCAGGCTTTCCTCAGGCTGCCCCTTGTTTCTTCCCTATGGTTGTCCCTTGCTCTTCCTCCTGCTTCTGTCATCCATCCAAACTGTGGGCCCTGGCAGACCTTCCTCCCCTAAAGCTACCTTTCCCTCCTTCTGTTCCTACCACCCTTCCTGGTTTGCTTCACTGCTGCTAAACTCATCAGACTCTTGGAGAGGATCCCACAATTTCCCTGTGATGTCCTGCACCTACACGAACAGGCCAGAGCGGGCTGTTTCTCTCGGTGCCCACAATGTGCTTGTGTTCTTTCCCAACCATCCTGATACACAGCCAACTTCATATTATGGTTGGAATAATGAAGGGACAGATGGTCATGCGGGAAACCTGGCAAGAGCTATGCTGGGAGCAGAAATTCCCTTTCTCGTAGAGAAATATCTTCTCTGCTCTGAGCCTTGACATGCTCCTCTGCATGGGATTCACCTCTGCTAATTTTAGCCATGTAAATATGAGGTGACCCATCCAAGCAACTCATTTTCCTATGAGAAAAAAGGCCTCTCTCCACCCTGGTACCCCAAAAGCTGTAACCTAACCCCGGATCTGGTACCTGAGCTGCAGTTCTCCAGCAGAAGCTGCAAGAGAGACCAGATGGGGGGTGAACTCAGCCAGCTCTCGTGGTCCTTGCGAGTCAAGGACATGGCTGAGTGAGCTGCCTTCACCGTGATGCTCTCCCCCTGCTGATGGTGGGGGGGGCAGATGTTTATTTACTGATTCAGCGTCAGTTACTCGTGTTATCTTCTGTCAGTGCAAATGTATTTGCCAAATATATTCCCGAGATGGAGGCTCCCTGACGCACAGTATTCGGCTCAGTGCCTATATTCTGGAATCCCTGGTATTTCTACGCAATCGCCAATCTCAAGGTATTTTAAACACGAAGGCAGAGTCCTGGCCGTGCTGACAGCACTGGGGAGGGAGATCGGTTCCATACTGGAAAGAGCCAGCAGGAAAGGCCGAAGGTTTTGCAAAGGCTCGTTGCTCGCTTGCAGTGCAGCACAAATGTGGGATGTTCACACGGGCGCTCTTTGGGGGATGTTGTATCAAACAGAAGCCATCCCCAGCTCCAAAACTGGTGGGACTTCTGCTAAAAATGGGCTGGCTGAAAGAGCCCATGTGCTGGACTCAGTTTGGGTCCCACCCCTCTGTTTGAACAGGCACGGCATGCTGCCCAGTTGGCTTGGGGCTGGCAGTGTATGGTAGCTGTCCCCAAAAGATGGGGCAAGTGGTAAGAAGCCAGGGAGCTGAGGGCCTTTTTCCACTGTGAGACTTTAGGGTGGCTCAGGCAAAGCTCTCCCGAGCCCTGACAGTCGCCATTTGAACAGCCATGGGCAAGAGCAGACCATGCTGGACCCTGTCTCAGGCTAGGGGGTTAGATGATTTACTCATGGCAATAGCAGACATCTGACCCAAAAGCTTGTTTTCATTTCTATATCTTTCCATTTTCCTACAAATAAGTAGTTGAGTTGCTCCAGCTGAACTGTCCAAATCAGAGGCTTTCCGCTGCCCCTTGCCTAAAACTTGCCAGGGACTTCCCAGAAAGTGGAGGAGGAATTATGGGTGTGGAACAGAGCGTCTCTTGTGCCGAGCTGCGCAGGATGTTTGCAGAGCCCCTCTCTGCACCCGGGCACTGCCTGGTGGAGCATGGTCAGGGGGGAGAAATGTGGTGGTCCTGCACTGTAAAATCTCTCCCTCAGCTTTTAGTTAAAGACACTCAAAAGAAGGGACAGGCTCAAGTGCTTGGGCCTGAACATGCAGGTTTTCTTTTTAGCAGCTTCCCTCGTTCCCTTCCCTGATAGCTGTAGAGTTGGTCCTAGGTAATTCCCAGCTTCAGCTGTGGGGGGTGGAATATAAATTATAGTGCTGTCATTTGGGGACGGGCGAGATAGGACAAGCGAGGCGGGGAGGAGCACCTCTTGTTGCTTGTTGTTATATTCTGATCCTGTTTCCTTGAAGACAAGAAAATAAACACAACCCAAAGAGATGGGGAAGAACAGCAGAGATAAAAAAAGCAATGCAGCAGCTCTCCTTGTGGCTGAGCCTTGCTCGTGACCTCACTGCCAGTTAAGCTGAGGCAGAGGATGAAGGCTTATCAGCTCAGCTGAGACCAGCCAAGCTCATGTCAGTGGTGAGGGCACTCCTTCAGCTGGTGCTTGGATCAGCACTAACGGAATGTCCCACTGTTGGCCTCACTGAGGACCAGGGAGCCGCACAAAGCCGTGGCTTGGGCTGGAACCGGCTGAGCACATGGGCTCCTGCTCTCCTTCTGCTCTGGCCTGCTCGGCACAAGGAGCATCTGACTGGGAAGCAGTGAAAAACCAGAGTCCCAGGAGGGGATGGCGGAGCCAGGCGGGGTTGGGTCCCTGCAGAGAGGATGCGGAAACGCCTTTGGTTCGGTTTGCATACCAGCCCCCCCACCCCCAGCTCTCCTGCTCTTGTCACCTCCCCTGGGAGCCTTGAAAAACCCCTTATCATCACTCGCTTAACCTAAACAAGTCACTTTGTACCAGTCTCCCCGTCTCCGGCTTCTGCTGAGTTTTATAAACAATTTTGTGAAAGAGGCTGACGAGGATGTTTTCCCTTGCCTTGGGCAGCCCCGGACGGGGGGCCCCAGCACCCCGGAACTGACTCTACCGTGACCGCGGAGGGCTGGGCTTTGGGTGCCATTGGTTTCTGGCTGCCCTCGAAGCCGGGGGTGGACGGCTCCTGCTCCTGTCAGCTCCAGCATATAAAGGATCCCAGAGCAGCCTTTTGTCTCTGTGGTCGGGTTCGCTGGAAGCAGGCAGGATGGGACCCCAAAGCAGCTTGGCACTGGCTCTTCTCTGCTGGGCAGTGGGCGAGGTGGCCTCTTACACACCCTGGGATTTCTCTTGGAGCGAGCCGGCCAGCCACAGGTCAAGGGCTGACCCTTATGCCTGGTCATGGATGGACGAGACGCAGTCACGGTCCGCCTCTGAGAGGCGTCCCGTGATGGTGCAGTGCCAGGAGGCTCAGATGGTGGTGACGGTGCACAGGGACCTCTTCGGCACCGGGCGCCTCATCAATGTTGCAGACCTCACGCTGGGCCCAGCTGCCTGCAAGCACTCCTCGCTCAACGCTGCCCAGAACACCGTGACCTTCGCCGCCGGTCTCCACGAGTGTGGCAGCATCGTGCAGGTAAGAGGCTTTGTCCATAAACCAGGCTCCCGACCCACCTCTGAGGAACTCTCATGGTTTCTGAGCTCCTACTTAAGGACTCGCTGCTTTGCCGTCCACTGGTTTGGATGGGCTGGGAGGTTCGGCGCGTAGGGGTTTATGGCTGTTGATCTGGCAGATCACCTATTGCTGGGGTTTGCCAATTCTGGGTGGCGAATCCAGGTGCCCTGGGCTCTCCAAATCTTGGTTGTGGGGCCGAAGGAGACCTCTGGAGAGATGATGTTTTCAGGCAGGCTGTTTTACATCAGGCCTCTTCCCCTGGGGCAGCCAAAGGGGAGACTGTGATTAGATGACCCTGGTGGGGTTAGCTGTGGTGGAGGTGCCCAGGCAGTTCCCCCAGTGTCTCTGGCTTTCCCGTTCCCCAGGGCACTGCTCCTTTCCCCAGGAACCATGCAGGAGCTCCTGAAGCAGCTCTGGGCTGTAGGACCTTGCCCCAGTCGAGGTGTAGCTGCTGCCCCCCACCTTCACTGTCCCCGGGAGTGCAAAGTCTAACATAAGGAGGTAGCTCTCCCCTGCCACCACCTTCCTGCCCTGCTCTTCCCAGAGGTCTCCACCAGGCCAGGGCCGCTCCGAGGTGTGCGAGCCCGGGCCGTAGCAGAGCCCAGGCCTTGCGAGGCTGGGGGAGTTCTGGGTGCTCAGTGCAGAGCATGGGTGAGAAACCTCCTAGGGGAAGGATGAGTGACATATCTCCTGAATGGGAGCATTTTTTCCAAAAGCTGCTTTGTATTTTCAGCCTGGGATACACTGATGGTGTTTAAGTCCATACATCAGATCCATTTCATTCACATCTCGCCCAATTAGGAAGTTTAACTTGCTGATCAAGGAACAACATTCCCCGTCTCACTGCCCACAGGGCAGCGTTTTGCCTGTGCTTCCCCTGTAACAGAGGGAACTGAGAGCTCAGTCGCATCACAGTGTGCCTGTGCTTGGGGCACTAGCTGGGCTTCTCCAGCATGGCCTCGCCTTTGCCCTGCAAAAGCCTTTTCCTTCCCACCACGGGGCATGGAGATAGAAAGACAAGATGGGACGGGGAGGTGTGGCCCTTCCTACCGTGGCATTTCTGGTGCTCTGTGCCTGCACTAAGGCTGGGCTGAGCTGTGTTCTCCTCCTGAAGATGCACTGGCAGTAGAGCAGAGCCAGGTACTGCTTGGGCTGCCTGTGCTTGCGCACCAAGCGCAAGATTTGCCTCTGTAACCACCAGCAGCCCTGCTCCTAACACGCTTCAATGGGGGCAGGTGCCCACACATACACCATAGCAGTTTTGGCCTCTTGTTCTGAACCACACGTGCACCCAGCACCCAATACATGCCCATGCCAAAGGACTGGTGCCCTGCTCAGCCTTATGCATCTCTGTACAGAGGAGCTTTCTCCTGCAGATGATCACAAGACACTCTGCTCCCTTTCCTCCTTCAGCCCTTGCAGGGCAAAGGCCCGGGACCTCTGAGAAGGGTCACGGCCAGCACACATTAGCAGGAGCTCCTCGGGGAACCTGGACACTGTGTCAGTGTGAACGCAGTGAAGACTAACATGGGAAGGGATTATGTATCAACACCCTCATCTTCAGACTCTCTTTCCAATTCCTTTTTGCTCAGATGTTTATTCTTTTCTTTGGATTTTCATAGCATTTACCAATGGGAAAAGGACACTATGACCTGCTCTCAGTTAAACCACTCTGGAGCAGGTGGGTAATGGTGGGGTGGCAGGAGTGACCTCGCCGTCATCTTTTCAACATCTACTTCTCCCCAGGTAACTCCTGACTCCCTCATCTACCGCACGCTCATCAACTATGACCCCAGCCCAGCCAGCAACCCAGTCATCATCCGGACCAACCCAGCAGTGATTCCCATTGAGTGCATCTATCCCAGGTAAGGGGTACCTGTCTTCATGCTCTCCTAGTCCTTAACTGTCACCGCAGGGCTCTGTCCTAATGAGCAGCCTTCCCTTTCCCAGGAGAGAGAACGTGAGCAGCAATGCCATCAAGCCCACATGGGCTCCCTTCAGCTCCACCCTGTCTGCGGAGGAGAGGCTGGTGTTCTCCCTGCGCCTCATGAATGGTAGGTGGGAAGTCGCCACACCGTATGGGTGGGTATTTTCCACTTTATTTTCCTAGTGTGGCAGAAGCACAAGGCCCCCTGCCCCAACAGGCAGAAGGCTGTTGCCTTCCCACTGGAGGAGGATGGGCAGCCAAGCTGCTGAAGAGCAAATACCAGTGCTCATGTCGGTAGGCTCCCAGCCAAACCCTGCTCTAGTCCCTCAGAGTTCATCTGCTCCTCACCCACTCCCCACCCATGGCTCTTGCCACTGGAAAGCCCAGGGATAAGAAGGAGCCACCCTTCCATTTCTCATGATGATGCTGCGTTTGCAGAGGACTGGAGTGCAGAGAGACCCTTTACTGGTTTCCAGCTGGGTGACATCCTAAACATCCAAGCAGAGGTCAGCACTGAGAACCACGTGCCTCTGAGGCTGTTTGTGGATAGTTGTATTGCTGCCCTGAGCCCAGAGAGTGACTCCTCTCCTCACTACTCCATTATCGATTTCAACGGGTAAGGCCTAGGGGCCCTCTCTGGAGCCCAGCAGCTGCTGTGATGGCTGGGGAGGCATCTAGTTCAGATGATCCTGACCCCTACTCTTGGGTCTATAGATGCCTGGTAGATGGGAGGTCAGATGATACCAGCTCGGCCTTCATAACCCCACGGCCCAGGGAGGACATGCTTCGGTTCAGGATCGACGTGTTCAGGTTTGCAGGGGACACTAGGAACTTGGTAAGACTTTATTCTTCCTCCATGAGGTCCCGCCCTGATGAGGCTGGTGTACTCCATGAGAGGTTCCTCACTTCTCTCCTCCTGTTTCACTCTCCAGATCTACATCACCTGCCACCTGAAGGTCACCCCAGCTGATCAAGCCCCTGACTCCTTGAACAAGGCCTGCTCCTTCAACAAAGCCAGAAACATGTGAGTAGCTGCTGCATAATACTTGAGTGCACGAAAGAAGAGTTCTCGCACTAATGTGAAGCTGCCCAAGAGAGATCTGGGCAGGACTACAGGTCTTAAGCCTCTGCCCAAATACAGCTTAAAGCTTCCTGGTATGATACAGAGAGTTTCATGAACCTGAACTCAAGTGCAGCTGCATCTAAAACCCAAGCATTGTCTAAAGGGCACAAATACTTTGTACGTACTAGGGGTGGCATGGATGAGGATCCTCCAGTTGCTGGACCAGCAACCCCGCCCTTATACTGTTGGTGTACGCCAGCTCCCGTTCAATTCCTTCAGGCCCTTTAGCCACCTTTCTCTTACCTGCAGAAAGCTCTGGAGAGGAGGGACATTGGTAGAGTTACCTACCTGCTAGCATAATGCTGTTTCCTGTCCTGTTCCAGCTGGGCACCTGTGGAAGGCACTAGGGACATCTGCAGCTGTTGTGAGACTGGGAACTGTGAGCCACTAGCACTGTCCAGGAGGCTCAACCACCTGGACAGATGGTCCAGCCGCCGCTTCCGGAGAGATGCACCCTCTGCCAGTGGTAAGATGTGTCCTATGGGGCACATCTTGTGGGGCAGGTGTCCCATGGGACAAGTAAACTTGGTGGTTGAGCCCTGGGCTCCTTCGTAGAAGCTGACGTTGTTATTGGACCGGTGTTCCTCACTGCAGACCTGGGTGCAATGGGTCCCTCAGGAGAGTGGAAGGAAGGAGGACAGGGTAAGTCCCCCACCAGTCACAGCCCCGTATGAAGGCTCTTGTGACTAGTTTTAATGGCCTGGGCTGGCTTTGCAGGTTCAGCGGCAGTGCCTGGCATAGGCATGGGGCTGATCTTCATGGCAGCAGCTGTCGCGCTGGCTGTCGTTGCTCTGGCTGTTGTCGTCATGCGCAGGAAGTGCACCCGCTCCTCTACCACGCTGTGAGTCTGGGGAGGAGGCAAAAATAAAGCGTGGAAAGGAAGACCCAGTTGTCTGTATTTCTCCCTGTCTGAAGGGTGGCTTTAGGGAGCAGCTGGGGAGAGGGAAATACCTGGCTGCTATTTCGGTGCAGCTGTCAAGGGAATGTCCCTCCCAAGGCACATAGACATGAGAGGTATCAGAGCCCATCTCTTCCTGGGGAGGGAGGAGTCCAGGGTACCTCCATCCCTCTGATCTGAGGCTCGGGTTTCATGCTGAGTTAATGGAGCCGTCTGGGACCCTTCCTTACCGTCCTTGATATGATCCCCCACATGCTTCGGGGGCTTTGGCCCCTCCCAGTGCTTAGCTCCTGGAGCCATCCTGGCAGCTCTCCACAGATGTCACTGGTGACAGTCCCCTTGTCATGTCAGGCACATGTCCCTAGAGGAGTCTTAGCAGTGTCCCTGGCCTTCAAAGCTCTGCTCCTGGGAGAGAGAGCAATTGAACTGAGGATACCAGATGACTGTGGCCTCTCTTCACCTCATCTAACTGAGTTCAGGATTTGAGGGGCTATATGACAGCTGGGGGGGGTCACTAGAAATTTATTTTTAACCCTTGTTAGCAGTGAGAGGAGAACGTTACATGCTGGATTTCCTTGCCTGGATCAGCCAGGCAAGGACCTCAAATTGTCCAGGGACTTGCACCTCTAGGGACCTTCCTGGAAGGCTGAAATGGATAGAGCTGGTGGGGTCCTGCCCTGGACTTTCCCTGAGGAGACACCTGAGCCCTGGCCCCCAGGGCTTTGCTAGCCACTTCAGAGTAGGACATGCTTGCTCGCAAGAGCAGTACCACAGCAGGGTGTGCTGCATGGCCGTGTCCTGCATTAGTCATGAGAGCAAGGGTGGGGGGAAAGGGCTCCTGCTCTGTTACCTGGGCAGGGGAAGCCAGGCGCTACACAGGTTGTCCAAAGCTTTACCAGGGGGGATCTGACACCCCCCAGCCTCCTCCCACACTGTGCAGCAGGTTCTGCTCTGGCCTCTCTGTCCCCCAGGTCTCAGGGTTGAGGGCTTGGGAAGCAGCCCATGCTGAAGCTACTCAAAGGACCCAAAGTTGGTCCCCACAGCCCTGTAAGTGGCTGCCATGGGCCCGGCTCTGGAAGGAGGATGACAAGGCAATGCTGCTGCTGGCTTTACCCCCCCATCCCTGAAGGCCGCTGGAGCCAGGCTGATCCAGCTGCAAGGAAGCAGAAAAACCCTTTGCACTCTCCTCTGCTGCCCTCGTGTGCACACTGGCTCTCCTGCAGCTACATACAGCCCTGTGCAGGGGGTTCGCCAGCCCAAAGGGCCAAATCCAACCAAAACAGGGCCCTGCTGGTGCTCAGGCTCCAGGTCAGGCAGTAGTGCTAGGTCCCTGCTGGGACAGCCTCTAGGCTGGCTCTGGAGGGCAAAGCCATGCGGGCAGCAAGACGGGGGCGGTTGGGTTCCCACCCTGTCTCCGGGTCACCACAGGGACAGGGTGGCCTGGGTTCACAGCCCGGGCAAGTGCAGACGCATCACTGAAACGGGTGCCCACGGTGGGACAGGGGAGCTTTGCCCAAAGCACGTCCGCGGTCCTTCAGGCTGTTCTCAGCAAAGTTTCTCAGTATTTCTGTGCCAAGGGGGAGCACTAGTCGGGGAGACTCCCAGCCCCCTTGCCATCGCACAGCTCGTGTCCCCCTCCCTGGCACCTGGAAGGGCCTCCGCCTCCCAGGGACAGCCCTAAGCTGAGCCTTGGCTCAGGTGGGGTGATGGGAGCCTGTCTGCTCCCTGCTGCCTCAGTTTCCCTGACTCCCAAAGGGATGGACTTGCCACGGCCATGCTGGTTCATGGGACCGCGGTGCCGAGCAGGACGTAGCCAGGGTGCGTCACGCTGGGAAGGGGAAACCTGCGGTGCAACCCAGGCTCACAGCCCCTGAGCCGTGTCCTTCAGCCTGGGCCAGGTGGAGGCGGAGACCTGGCCTTGGGGGCTGCTGGTTTTCAAAACCTCCAGCCAAGCTGTCCAGGTCTGGCCTCACTGAGACCTGCTGCAGTCCAGCCTTGGGGGCCGGCCCGGTGCCTCAGTCCTGAGTCACTCGTAGTTCACCACTTGGCCAGGAAAGATGAAAAAATTTCTCTGTCCCACCCAGTCCCAAAACAGGAGAAGGTCAGCTGTGTCCTCCGCTCTTCTCACCCTCTGCCGTCCCTCCCCGAACCATGTGGCGTGGGGGGGGGGAGGGAATTTTGGGGAGCCAGAGGAAGGACCATGGTTCTGCACCCATTCAATTTTGGGACAATTCACAACTTAAAGCACCTTGCTGGAGCTGGGCTCATGCGTCCGTACAGCGCCTAGCACATCCCAGCTCAGGGCTCACTGTAATAGCGGGGCAAAATTATTGTAACCAGTGAGTGAGGGGGGGCAGCTGGGGCCCAAAGGGTTAAACCAGTCCTCCCAGTCCCTGCCTTAAGGGCTGGTCCAAGTGCCCTGCTTCTCCCCAGCTCTGCCTCCCAGGGCCAGCAGGAT